TCAATATATTTCGTTTCCATTTGGTTTGAAGTATTAAAATAACTCAAATTAAATAAAACTTAATAAAAGACCTATACAGACATAATAAATTCAGACATCATTTAACTAAAATTAAAATAAATAACAAATACAAATAATACAAATCAAATGACAGTAGTTTATCAGTAATCCTACAAAATAACACTGCCAAACTTACATGCTAAAAAACAACAACTTACTTACACATAGTAAGAAATGGTTATAAAAACTGAAACAGAAGCGAAACAAGTAATAGGAATCTAAGGGTTCGATTAGATAAAACTATAATACATATATAATACAATATATAACACATAAACTATCTATCTATCTATCTATCTATCTATCTGTCTGTCTGTCAAGTCAGGAAGTTTAAAAAGGTTAACCAATAAGGCTACCTAATGATACAACAGAAAATTCATTGAAAATTGTGATAGAAAAAAGTGAAATAATACAAAGAAAGCAAAACCACGGGTACCTTAATGCTTTGAAAGGGTTAACTGATTCAAATACATCAAACGCAGAAAAAAACTTGCATTTTTCAATTTAACATGACAAAGAGAAAAAACGGTATCGGTGGCCCCCACATGGCCGCTGTAGTTCAACGCGCCGTTTTTATCGCCCCCTAGAGACCGCTGGACAGAATGCAGGAGCTTCCATTTTTTATCAGGTCATCCCATGATGCACCGCGCCTTCAACGGCTTCAGTCATTCAAGCAGCTCAGCTCTGGTGTTCAGGAGGGCGTCTGTTCTGTTAGGCCATCTGGGTTCGGGTAACCTGTGTCCTGAACCGGACCGGTCCCTGAACGTGGGTCTTTACTCTCTCATTTCGAGCTGAACTTCCCCGCCCATGCTTCAGGAATCACCGGCCGTTGACGGGAAGCGAGCGTTTGGGCGGCAGAAGTGGTACTGTCAGCGATATAACAGCAGAAAGCCTTAAATACACAGACATAAACCAACCGGAAAGAGAACGGTGGGAATTTAAGCATACTTTAAAAGCAACTTGATGGATTTAGAGACCGGAAGAAACGAACGGTGAGCAATGGGAGAGGCGCTGCAGCCGCAGACCCCCAGTCGCCACGAGAAAAGTCTGGGACTGCTCACGACTAAATTTGTGACTCTGCTGCAGGAAGCGAAGGACGGAGTGCTGGATCTCAAAGCTGTAAGCACGACACGAGCTCAGTCAACATCTTCATCACCACCGCTATCATCATCTTCATCTGCTATATGTTTCCAGTATCGAGACGCGCAGCGCCTGCTGAATATGCATAGCTTTTAATGTTTGCATGCAAACAGATGTACTTTAGGTCCCATAACAGCACAGAAAAGTTGCTCTGGTAAGGGAAGGGGGGGGGGTCGTGTGCACGCACAACCCCTCTCTCTACTCAGCTCGACTCACATAAACTAGTTCCTCGACTAAACCAGGCGAGCCAGCTAACAGGTTGCAAATGTTATGTCACTCCAGTCGGCAAAGCAAAACAGCTCCGGTGTTTGTTGTTGTGTCCCAGAAGGTTTTTACTGCGAATCCCATCTGAGGACTGAAAACTCAAAACAAAAGTCTTCAAACCAAGCACGTGCTCTGGAGTTTGGGATGGTGTAGGCCTGCGCGACTTGGGGATGCGTTTCTTTGAATCTTATTGGGGTTTGAACGCGATATTTCACTTCTAAAATGTGTTAAAAGTACATTTTGGTGATTTGAGTGATCTAGGATTGTGTGTTTGAAGTAGTAGTTTAGAAATGCGAAGCTGATACTGGAACTTGATTGCATCAAGTTGCTTGCTTGTCAACGTTGCTGGGCTGTTTTTGTCCATTTTATAAAGCCTGCAAGTCGTAAAGGGACAGTTCACGGA